TGGGAAGTGGAGTGGTGGTAACATTGCCAATGTGGCACAGGTCATCTCTCATATAATTATACCAACAACATGCCAGAAGCATACCGTACAGTCTGTTCAGTAGACTTGAGGCGAGCACATCACTAGACTGTGCACTCCTCCTGTGGCTTGTGACTGTCCAGTTGAGACAAGCACATTCCAAGATATGTGCCTTCCTCCTGCAGGCTGTGACTGTCCAGTAGAGTTGAGGTGATCATGCACCACTCTACCATGCCCTTCTCCTGTGGTTATGTTTGTTCAATGGAGTCGAGGTGAGCACACACTGTATGCACTTGATGCTGTCAAATCAACATGTCACACTTAATATTACATAATTTATTACAAGAATTTCTTTGTCCTACTCCTGCAGATGGTGTCAGTCCAAGAGTCTGATGGTAGAGATGAGGTAAGCATGCACTTCCATTACACACTCTATGGCATAAATTTTGTGCACTCCTTCCACAGCTGGTGTCGATTCAAGAGTCTGCTGGTAGAGTTGAGACAAACATGAATGATTAATTTTTGTGCTCTTCTCTCACAGCCAATATCAGTCCAACAAGTCTGACGGTAGAGTTGAAGTGTGCACTAGGTACAGTCTGAAGGAGGCCCAACCATGCTGTACATATTGGCTCTCCGACCTCTTGTATGCAAGTATTTGGACAGCCATGTTCTTATTTTGCCCATACTTGTGATACCTGGGGCTCATTTGCATCTTCCTCTCTTTTACTTTGGATGAATAGTGTACTCTGGAAAAACTCATGGAATCTTGAGTAGATGTGGTCCATCTTTATTCTTCATTTTCTACACTGTCTCAACTGTCCTAAAGTTCTTCTATAGGACAGTTTATTCCAGTTCTCGTTAATGTTTCCAGACCTCCTGCTTCAGTGCTGCAATCCATTGGAACACAGGAGTGATTTTGACCTTGCCAGTGGAGATCCTCCTCCAGGGTGGAGCTCAGATTTCAGTGTCGGCAATTACCATATGGGATCAGGTCCTATGGGGTCTCATCTCAGAGTGTTCGTGTCTGTATGGGAGACATTCACCACAGATCAGTGGGCCATTCAACTTCTCAGGAGGGGATTGGCCATTCAGTCCATGTCTCCTCCTTCTCTGTTTCTCATACCAGTTGGCTTTCCACTCCCCAAAGGCCCTCTTAAATCCACCCATCAAGCACAAGCCATCCAGGATATTCTACACAAAGAGGCAATAGAGCTCATCACCTCCTCTCTCAAAGGTTTTTGGCTCTTGGCTGTTTGTAGTAATGAAAAAAAAAGATGGGCAACCAATCAGACCTTTCTTGTCTCAACTGCTTCCTCCAGCTTCCACAATTTACACTGGAGTCATTTCTTTCCTTTCATTGGCTCTTTTCACCCGGACTATGGATGACAAAGTTTGATGTCGCAGATGCATATCTTCATATCCTGGTCACTGATTCTTCAAGGCATTATCTGTGTCTCATGTATGACAACCAGGATTTTCAGTTTCATGCTCTACCATTCAGCCTTGGATTTGCTATATATGTTTTGTGCAAGACAGTCAGAGCTTTTTTTTGCACCATCTTCACTCCCTCAGCATTCACACTCAGCATTCCATGGATGATTGTCTTCTACTTTCTCTTCCTGCCATGTATCTGCCTCTGGTATCCAAAGCTGTGATTGCGTGGTTTCTTATCAAAAAGGAGAAGTCTCTTCTTACTCCCACACATTACCTCATCCATTTAAGGGTGCTTTTCAATTCCAGACTAAACTGGGGCCAACCTTCTTCCCTTTGCCTTCAGGCCATGGAATAGGCGATTCTTCAAATCCAGTTGTTCCTTCTCCACCAGCATGCACAGTTCTACCTCTTTTGTGGATGTGGGCATTCTTGGAATCACTCCTTCCTTTAGATCAGGCCCACATGAAGGCCCTTCAATGGTCTTTACAGGACCAGTGGAAAATTTGCACAGATGCACTGGATTGTCCAGTGAGACTGTCAGATTCCAGTGTGCTGGATCTTGGATGGTGGTTGAACAGGGACAATGCAACTGTAGGTGTCCCTCTACCACCTCTATGCCCAGAGATACATCTGTTCACAGATGATTCTCTTCAGGGCTGGGGTGATTTTATAGACAATATGGAATTCAAGGAGCTTTGGACTGTAGAGGAAGTTTGTCACCACACCAATCTCTTAGAGCTTGGTTTCTTGCATTCTGAGCTTCTTCAGGTTGGTTTACATATTAAAAATAGTACTTTAAGTATGATTTATTGTGTACTAGCTTTGAGAAGAACATTTTAGCTAAATAGGAAAAGTTTAATATATGGATCCGTCATATTACTTATTTATGGTGCAGTTACTTATCTCAAACTTAAAGTATAAGTGTAGCTTAGGATTTTTTAGCCCTGTAGCTTGAGAACAATATTGTTAAAATTATACTACTTCATTAACGAATACAATTATTGAATTATTTCCATCATAGTTTCTAGAGATAAATGATTTTTCAATTCATTGCAAGACTACACATATTTCTTTAGTTTTTAACCCTTTATGTTACTCACTTGTTTTTATACTGTTCGACTACTGGTAGTCTCCACATTTTGTACCATATTGAGTAATTTTATTGTCCAGCTTGTTAAAATGCTTGGTATGGATAACTGACCCAACATATTAGGTGAAATCACTTATTTTCTATGTAAAATATATGATGGATCTTAGCAGTAATTATTGGTATTAATTGCAATATTGATGGATTTTTTTAAGACAGTTTTTTGTGTGACTTGTATATTATTATACATCTTGTCATGGACCCATAACTAAGTTATTGAATATACAGTCAACAAAAATTTGTTGAAATAACTAATGGGTCCCTTTTGTGTAATATGAGTGTTAATAAAACCCTTCAAATTCAATATACAAATGTCTTCTTTCCTAAATCAAGGTACACTAGATGGACAAACAAAAATGGTTCGAGATGGCACAGCAGTATCAGCCCATCAGTGGAGTGCAGCAGAAGGAAAATGGATTAAGATTGGTGATGTTGTTGGAGCAAGTGGTAGTACTCCATCAACATCAGGGAAAACTTTGTTTGAGGGGGAGGTTTGTCATTTTTGAGATTCATTGTATAACATGCCATTTGTTTTAGGTTTTATTCATAACAGGTGGTACTTTGTTTCTTAAGATTTCCTTGCTACCCTCCAAAACTAACAGTTAGTTCATTGTTAATGTTACTCTTACTCTTTCTACAAATAAACAGATGAGGTTTTTATTATGTTTTTTTCATCAGCACATATTCTGCAGTGTTTGAGATATAGTAATATGAGGCTTTTGTGTAATACACCTGATGCTACCAACAAAATAAATTGTCAAAAAGTTTTAGTTTGTTCTCCTCAAATGTAGTTTTTCTTAATGCATAATTTGATATTTCCCAGCTACATAAATAAAAATCACCAGTGTAATAAATAAAACTATGGAGTAAAGTTTATTTGGAAATGTGGATGTTTAAATCTGTAATAGTTCTAAACAAATATACTTTTATTTTTTTTATTAATGTTTAAAAATTGTAGAAACCACAAAGTATAGCAATATTATAGACCTTCTTTCAGTCTGTCAAACAAAGATACAGAATAGCTCAGAATTTTAAAGCACTACTGTATTCAAATGTCACTAACATCTACATTTATGTGTGTGTGTATAGATAATCCAGTTATAACTGCTTTTTCATACCTATACATTGATATTGTGATTACACTTGAATTTCACTGGGCTTCCAGGTGATGCAGTATTACATTTCAGGCATGTAGATTTTCTTAAAGTTTTATATGCTAAATCTAGTCTAGATCTGCATATATTGGCAGTCTAGTAGGAAGCTTATGTTGAAAACACTAGGACAGGCTTTTTAGCATTGAGCATGTTGGTTTGGGAGACCATAATTTTTGTGCATCAATTACACAGCTAATTTGAGCGTAATACTTATTATGTATTTATCATTTATTAAAATTGAATATATTCTGTATTTTTTGTCATTCCAAAGGCAGAGAAAATAAATAATACTATAAGAATAAAACTTGATCACTGATGTAACTGTTTGTGTGTAGTATAATGCAGAGAATGAATTTGTAGCTTTGAAGATGTAACCAGGAGAGAAAATGAAACATTAATATAATTCATTGCTATATTTTGAAGTACTTTTTTATTAGTTTCCTATGGTAATCTTTATTAGCACTTCTTTGCAGTCTATCATAAAACAATGTACAGTTTATGCAAGTAACTAAGTCACTTCTGCTAAATTATTCTCATCTTATATTGTAAATAATAAGTCATGTTAGTTGTTGACGCATTTAGTTTTATCTAAACTTGGCATGTAGTTTTGTGTGTCATTATCTTTACTAAATTTTAGTATTTTTTGTCTGTACTTCATTTTTGGCTTATTGAAATATGTACTAAATTTTTTTTAAACATTGAATGAAGAATTTGCTTTATTAGTAAAATTTGGGTAAAAAATAGAATGCTCAAAAATCATGTAACCTGTACAAAAGTTTACTGTTTGAAATGATGGTTAGTAGTCAGTAAACTACAAATCAAATCTCAAAACTGCATTGACATATTAATTCTGTCAAAATATCTTAATAAGATTGGTACAAATTGTTAAATAGGTATGTGATGTTTTAAAAGATTGGAATCTAAAGAATGAGGCATATGAAATTCCATAATTTAAACAGAGAAAGCATAAGCAATTTTGATCAGTATTCATGCATAATATTTCTTGCATGAAGGCTTGAGTGTCAAATCATAAATTTTATTATTTATGTGACACAGTCTGTTATACGAAGGAAAGTCAACTTCTCCTTCAAATAGACAATAAATGGTACACATAATACCAAATTTCAACATTTTGTTTTTCACTGTTTTAAAAGCTATAGAACTTGTGGGATAAATTAGTAACTATAATTCAGATGTTTCTTTTAACTAACTTATGTGCATTTATATGATCTTTGAAAAGTTCCTGAAAAGGGCATTGTAAAATTAAAAATTATATTCTTATTTTTGAAAAATATTTACCTTAGATTAATTTGTTCAGTTTGTGCAATTATAAACTAGGTTGTTGATGCTATGCTGGGCTTGAGTTTGGTTCCCCTGTTGCTAGTGTTGATCAGCAGTTCTGATCTCTACTTCTTTTTATTAAAATTTCAGCCTTGTTATTTACATTTGGATTGTGGTGTAAATTATAATAAAGTAAAAACAAATAAATAAATTATAACCAAATAACAAGGATATAAATACAGCACTAGGCTACTGCCGACTGGTTGCCTCCCTGTGGTCAGTGGTTTGAAATTGGGAAAAGCACCACATTTTCTGGAATGCACTCTGACAAATATGCTGGGACAGGACTCCATAACTTGAGAAGGGCATGTGCTTTGGCTGGTGCTAGAAACTTTAGAATGTAACCATAAACATGTAACATGTATTACTTTGTATGCAAATGTTAGCATTTTTTTTTAGGATTGATATGGCTTTGTTTAAACTAAAGTTTTAAAGTGGAACAGGTGTATGTTGTAGAAACTGAAATTGTGTGTCATTGCTCAGACCCATTTTTTGTGATTAACTTGTCAATGGTAATATGTACCTCATTCAAATACTTGCTAATGAATTAAATCATTGCACTTCTTTAAATATATATAGATGCATAATTGATATTTCATCTATATTCTACTTTCTTTTAGGTCTTACATCTAGTGTGTACTGTTCATAGTGCTATGTTTACAGGCTTTACAAAGAGTGTTGTTCAAGCTAGCTATGAGCTTAATATTTAAGACACCTAGAATTGAAGCTAATTTTTAATCATTAATAACTTGTGATAAAAATTTAATCTAACTATATAGATCAGAACTAAAAAATGTAGGGTTAAAATTTAATGGAGCCATTTCTATATAACAAACTGACTAGAAATAATTAATGTTATGAACCAATAAACATAAAGAATAATACATTGAATCATTAGTAGGTGTACCTTACTGTAAGCAGTATTTTGGCTGTTTACCAATAATATCTTACAAGCTGCAGCCACCTTAATAGGTTTAGGTTAGTCATAAATCCACATATTCAGTTTTCACTGTAAAATATTCTTGACAAGTGTAAAAATTTATAATGATAAAAATAAATTGTATTTAAAACTATTTTAATCGTAGTCATTTTATTAATATAAAGAATGTAGCATTAGAAAACTTGCTAAACATCTTTACTTCTGATTGGTTGTTTTACTTAGGCAGTCAAAAGGAAAGATGTTTATAAATCTTTTTTGCTATCAAATTGCAAATATTCTAAATTTATTGGATTATTATCTCTAAGATGATAATATTTTTGCAGTTATTTAATAATGGTGAGTGACTATTAGAATTTATGAAATAGTGTTTAAAAGCTAAACATTATCATGGGATAACTGGTTTATAAAGTTACCATTGAAATTATTTTCCAGGAGTATGACTATGTGTTCTCAGTTGACATTGAAGAGGGAAAAACTCTTAAATTACCATACAATGTGACTGAAGATCCATGGTTAGCAGCTCAGAAGTTCATTCATAAACATGAATTAAGCCAGTATTATCTTGATCAAATAGCCAATTTTATAATTAATAACACTAAAGGTGTAATTCTTGGAGAAACAAGCTCTCAAGTTTTTGACCCTTTCACAGGTTGGTATGTTTTTGTTCTTGTTTCAGGGTAAAATAATGTAAATTTAAACTTTGTTCATTTCCATGAGATGTATAATATATGTATATATTAAATGAAAAACTTTTGTGTACTGTATAAATTTAGGTGGTAAAAAGTGAGCAACATTTGTTTGATTAGAGGTATCACATAGGCTTTAGATATCAGTAATTTTGTTTTACTAAATGGGGTATTTACAAAGTCCAACAGTAGTCCGACCCAATATGAAATGTACTGATATCATGAATTATTTTATGTAGTGCTTTTAAGCTGATTTATCAAGTGAAAATAAGATGTCTAGCAGACTTTAGCTACTCTTTGAAAGAAAATAAAGTGTACATTTTGTTTGAATTTCACAGTGTATGTATTAAGTTAATGATAAAAAAGAATTAAGTTAATTTTTCTCTTAAGGTTAAATATTTATTGAGCAAACATTCTACTTTTTTGTTGAGGTGATACTCAGGTTAACTGTTACATCCACAATTACACCAACAATTTTGAATTTGCTCAGTACATCCTGTACATATTGCTAGTGTGTAGGATGAACTTAAAGATGGTTATTAAATAATAATATAATATTTGATATGACAGTAATGTTATGTATTTGCTTATGGAAACAAGTAGATTTTATATACCATTCATCATGTTACTTGTTACAATTGTTTATTCACTAGTCTAATTTTAATGAAACAAATCTAAAACAGTTGCTTCATTTTTCTCATTTCATAGTTTGCCAGAAAATCATTTAAAAGTTTAATAAATATTAAGTGTGGAGAATTTTATTTGTTAATTAAATGATTAAAACTTTAATTCAATCACTGTTAGGTACAGAAAAAGATCAATTTGAAGTAAAATTTCCGAGTTAGAAGGGAATTAGAGAAGATTCTTAATCTCTACTAAAGGACTCTCCAAGTATAGTCTTTATAGTCCTGTGGACTTCCAAAGTCACGAGTCAGTGTTGGATGTTATATAAAACTACTTATAGTCAGAGATCCTTTTCAATTCTTATTGCCAAAATACATTGACTCATTTTATAATCCCTCCCAATTTTATTTTTAAATCTTAACTCTCAATTGACAAATTAACCATAATCAGGTTGGTAATAAATCTGGAGTATGTAAGATCCAGAAAATTTTCAAATTGACAAATCAAAAGTATACTAGGAAGGTACTCATGTTGTAGGGCTTCCATTCTGTGAAGATGAAATGAAATTGACGTTTTTCACAGAGGAGTTACTTAACATTGCTTACCCTACCCCTGACAAAAATCTTCCATTTTTTGACCAAAAGTTGATTGCTTTTTCCTGTGCTATTTCCTATTTCGAAGCTTAGAAAATTAATTTGGGACACAATGGAAACATCAGAGGATGATATTAGGCCTTTTTATTACTTGCATCTGTAATGTGAAAAAGTGTTTCAAGTGCAATAAATCTGCAATAAGAAAGCTGCTTCTTCAAGAGCAAAAGCTTGGGTTTTGAATATGATGATTCAGATATTAATGAAACCTTTCCTTAAATATTTTGTAAAGGTCATCTTCTGGACTTTGTTACTGCTCTTATGAAATATTTATGGTTATTGTTTGTGCTGAAATATCTAAGTTTTTTGCCAGTTTTACACCCAAAAGTAGCAATCAGCCCTAGTCAGAATAGGTCATCTTTGAAAACCAGTTTTCACTTTTTACACTGGGCCTAGGGTCTTTAGACCTACATCTAAAGAAACAATCAAAAGTGAAGAACTAGTATTACTGGATTTGATTATTGAAAATTTATCATCATATTATTGGTATTTTGACTTTAAATATTTACCTTTTAGTATGTTAGTATTGCAAGTGCCAGTGGAATGTGATAAGATATACTTAACTGAAGAAAACTTCAAAAATTTATATACATTTTTGGAAATTCTTTGATGAACATACAGTGACATTTTGCTTTCTGTTGTAATTACTTAAGAGATGACTCATGAGATGCAATCTAGATGTACTCAATATAATGCAAATCAATTTTGACCAGAGAGCTTTACCTCAGGACCCTAGATAAACCCCAACTCCTGGCCTTTATATATTTTATTTGACCTTCATACAAGGTTGGTGAATGGATGTATAATATAACTTTGAATACAATTTGGTAGTTGTCTGGAGCACAAGTAGAGGAATTTATATATGTAGTATATAAATCTATTCATGGAATTTGTGGAAGTAGGTAAAATGAAATAAATTTTGTAAACATGAAATTTCTTTTAAAGTTATTAAATATAAAAAATACATGTATTTAAATACTTATTTTTTTTTTAAATTTTACATTTTAAGGGTCTTCTAGATATATTCCCAAATCAAATGGTTCAGGTGGAAGAGTTGAAGGAACTGATCCTTTTACAGGTGGAGGTCGATACGTTCCTACTGTGAAGGATCAGGCATGTGAGAAAAAAGAAAATGTTTCAGGTGAGTTGGAATCAACATGAAACATCTCATGTTCAAATGTTACCATGGTTAGTAGCCTATACAACTATCAAAATCTAATTACTAATTTTTCTTATTAGTAGTATTTCTGGACAATAATCACTAATTAGCTCATATCCTGCACATTGGCCATTAATCTACTGCCATCTTCAGGGTAGTTCTGGAAAGGACCACATGCTGTGGTAAGAGCCAGGATGAGATTCCTGTTCCTTATCAACACATACAGTCTTCATCAGGACTTCCCTGAATATGGTAGCAGCCAAAACATAGGATATAAACTAATTAGTGATTGTGTCTAGTAATAGTAGTTATAAGAAAAACAAAATGTAACTAATTAGGTTTAGGCGATTGTATGAGCTACTAGCCATAGTAACAATTGATTCTCACAACCTTAATGTATGTATTTCTTAGTGTTTAACTAACATTATTTCCAGTTGAAAGTCCTGAAACATTATCTCTCACAGTTATAAAGGAAAAATTTAATTTAATAAAACTTTCCAGTGTGAAATGCTGAGGGTTGTTAATGTACAAAACTAATGTAAAATAGATAAGGTATTTTAAGCATAAAAAAGGGGAAACATTTATTTTGAGGGTCCATATCATTCTTAATAGGAGAGCAAAGATAAAAATTACCTTGTTATGGATTATGCTTTAATGTTGATTTGTATGTAGTTCAAGTACGTACAGAACTGTGCATAAATTAGAGACTGCTCAGTCATCACCACATATTTTAAAGTTCAAAACGTGCTGAGTTTCTTTTAGTGCATGTATTTCAGAACTTCATAATGTCTGAAGGAAAAACAAGTGCATGTAAAGCAAGCTTGGAGTTTATCCCTTTAATACATTATCACAAAACCGAGAATCTCTCCCATTGCAGCTCCTTCACTGTAAGCTCCATTAGCTCTCTAAAATGGCTGGTATATTACACAGGCCAAATTGAATGACTTAGAACTATATAAACCATCTCTTGTGCAAAAAAAGTAGTGTTAGACCTGCTTTTGTCATCCAGTTTGACTTGCCAACTCTAAAGTGTTGAACCAATGGGAACCTTCTAACATGTCCAGACAGTCATCTGTTCATGGTAAAGGAAAGCTGTCAATGTGAGTTACAGTATCTATCCTGCATAAAAGCAACATAGAATCTTGACATACCTTCCATTATTTCTGATAATTACTACTGGAGATGACCAAGCACCTTCCAGAGGTTGTAGGACTACATGTTTCAATATTTGCTGTATTTATGCACTGGTTACGTTCCAAGTGCTCCAGGGAAACAAGTACAGTGGTTGCTTTATTGGACATGTGTTACCTGTATCTATATTTTTGCGAGTCTCTGTTGTTTGACACAGTTAGTCATCTGGTCCCATAAATACATCATCATATTCAACCAACAAGTTACTGAGTTTCTTTTGCTGCATTAGGTCTAAATTGTATACACAATCCTCAACCATTGATTTCAGAAATATTGGTGGTAGAATACTTGCTTTCAGTCCATGGTGTAATGGACAAAAACTCTAGCATTACTACTAGTCTTGATTACTTTCACTTTGCATTCTACAACTATGACCATTTCAATGTAAAGCTTGATGGACTACATCTATCATTGGACAAATACATGTCCAACAGAATGTTGCCTGCTTTATGGACAAGAAACAGTTCAATTTATGCATGGCTTCTGTAACCACATTATAGAGTACTGATGCACTAGGCTTCATCTGGAGTAAACCACGAAATACCACTTGTGTATACAGAGGTACTCTTATTCACTTTTCTATATATACTTGTGTAGTACATTGTTCCTAGTCTCAGTATGGCTGACATTGGATAATTCTCCTGCAGAACAACAGTATATCAGTTGTACAGGTGAAGTTGATGGATAATTTCTACAGTACGTCCATCTTGAAGATGCCAATCCAGATCCAAGGTCAGAGAGGACTACTTTCATTTAATGAGTGACATTTTCTAGACACAGACCGAGATAAACCTCTCCACTTATGTCTAGTCCATTGACAATCACCAGAACAAAGTCAGTATCCACTGACTTGATTGGTGGTCTCACTTGGAGAGCTTGATATATTGCAAGGTCAACCAATGTTCTGGCTGTTCCTGTGTCAATCAGAAACTTAACATCTCACCGTTGTACTCTTACATGTACGTACCAAGTTCCAACTTGCCATGAAAGAGCTGGGCTGACCACCAAGTCTTTTGTTGTGCCCCACCAGTTGGTAGCCAGACCTGACTTTAGCTCTATTAGTTTTTTGGAGCTAGAGTGACAACATTTACTGCATGCTGTTGGTTCTCCAGGAACTGCTGAGCCATCAGTTGAAACCAATGGTAGCATTGCCTACTTTGCTCTTTGACAAAGTATGGGTGCTGTTGGTTTTACTCTGGATCATGCTAAGCCATCAGCTGCAAGCTTGCTGCTTTTGCTGTTCAGCAAAGTATAAGCAGTTTATTCACCAGCCCAACATATCATAAGTGAAGCAGCTTCTTTGCTTCTCCCATCCCAGTTATGTCCAGGTGGAGGCATCATCTGCATAAGTTGTGGCATATAAACCGTGGGTAGAACTTGTGTGGTTGTGTCAAAGTGCCAGGATATGCGAGTGGCTAGTTGACTCGAGCTTGACATGTTGGAGGTGCTAGATTTGGGTGTTTCATCTTAGGTCTAGCCACAGCAGCTTGATCTGCTCTTCTAGGTATACCAGACATTAGCAAATCATCCAGAGTCAGTGGTTGTAAAGAGGTTGAAATATTGACAAAAGCCTTATTCCCAGGAAAGGACTTTTCCTAGACTTGACACCTCTCTCATAAAACCTTTTTTTTTGTATTGGCAAACTCTCCTCTTAGCCTTGATTAATTCTACTAGTGGAAAATGCCATTCATTAAATGAGAAATTTCTTTAAGCTCATTAACTCCAGAGTTCAAATAAAGGCAACACACACTTCAGGAAAAACCTAAAACTTCACAATAATATCCTGGTCACCTACCTACTCTATGGTGTTCTCAAAAATGTAAGGTTTTCTCATAATGATTAGCACTACCCACCTTACTTATCATTCTCATTCAACACAAGATAGGCCATAACCTCAAGATATCATCTGTTGTACCAATAAAGGACTCTTTTGTCACTGACTTTTTTGCACAACATGCATAATTACAGTATTATCTCTCATGGGCTGGGTAGGCATTATCTCTAGAGGACAACAAAGGAACAAAGTCAAATTAAGCTTTTTCTGGACCACATGTTATGTAAAAACTGCTTAGAATAAACAAAAAGTTTTGAAAATTTATACTTTAAAATAAAAAGTAGAAAATGCATATTATACTTGCATTTTACAATGCTACTTCCACCTTGTAGAAAATACTGGTGTCTGTTGGTTCCAAAACTCTCAAACTTTGACTTATGAGACCAAAGTATTCTTCACCATATATAGGTTGTTTATTTCTTTGGGTTTTTGCAAACTTTCTCTTTTCTGTTGTTGCCTTTCCAGAACAAAGGTTTTTTTGCTGCAGTAAATCTTTTCAATCCTTTTTCACACAAGTTGAATCCCACTATGGAAGGGTCAACTTTAACATCAGTGGTTTCTTGAAGTTCTGCAGCAAGGCAACTGCTGGGTTATATTTTCTCTGAATGAGGTAAACCTAAAGTACTTAACATCTGATTTGGAATGCTTACAATCTTTGGGCATGCTCTTATCATCAGTGGTACCAGTTTCATTGTATTTTTTGATTATTCTTTAAACTTCAGTTTCTGATACTTTCATTTTTCCAAAAACTTTCCTGTTGACTACAGCCCTCTTTCTCTATGAAGATATTATGTTAAGTCTTATTTCATCAGAAACTGTATTATGGAACCATATTTTGTACTAGAAAATAGAACTCTCATTTGAGTCGCAGAGTCAAGAAAATGTTGTACAAAAGCAAATAATAATTCTTAGTTACCAAGGAAAAAAAAACAAATTTCTGCAATGGAAAATTAATAAATGAATAAATTGTTGTTTGTTGTTAAATGTCATTATAGTAATTACATGATTCAGTTTTAAAAAATGTAACTATTGTCATTTCTTACATTTCATTAGAATGCATTTCAAACAAACTCATGGTTTAGAAGGTATCCTTGACACCATTTGCTCAGGATACTGAATTATATATAGTTTTGAAACAGTTATTTGTGGGATAATAATAATAGATTTATTTCAGTGAAACCAAAAAAGCACCTGAATGAGGGTCTCTAATTTATCCACAGTAGTGTGCCATGACTAAGGTTATTTTACCAAAAGAATAATTAGTAATGAATCTAAAAATCTCAATGATAGTATTTCATCTTTTAGTCTGAATGTTTAGACATTAAATATTGTGTGATTTTTTTTAAAAACTAATAATGTACATGGTGTTCCTCATATGTTAAAACATTGATAATGATCATTTGGGTGGTCCTAATTTTTGAAGTTTTGGTTTACAATACTATCACCCCATCATTTTGTTTCAATATATAAATAAGTAATTTACATCAAGTTTCATTCATATTGAATAATATGTAGGGTTGCTCAAGGCAGTTGAAATTTTACCTTGTAGCTCACATTATATCTGTATATTGTAGAATGTTCCAAAGCAGATTTCTAGCACTGAAAAGGCTCAAGCTTCTGCTGTGGCACATTTGCTGGAAGAGTGGGAAATCATTGATCGTGTAAAGTCAGTTTGCTTTGACACAACAGCAAGCAAGACTGGTTACAGAAATGAAGCACATGTGCTGTTAGAACAAAGATTAAATGAGAATCTTCTGTATTTGACATGCTGTCATCATACCTTATAACTTGTCCAGGCAAGTGTTTTCAAAGACTATATGGGGCTTTTCTCTGGTCCAGATATTGCAATTTTAGTCAGTTCCAGCAGTCTTGGAAATACATGGACCAGTTGAGATATGAAACTGCAGTTGCCATGATGAAGTAGCAGAAGCTATAGAGGAAGTTAAGGAGAGTGTCACTGAGTTTGCTGCAAGACAATTTCAGGTCAGCCAACCTGGAGACTATTATTGAGAGCTTTTTGAACTAGTCATAACTTTTCTTGGTGACATCCCTGACGTGGAGTGTGATTTATAGCATCTGGAGCAAAGCATCATCATGCACAATATATGATCACGACATTATATGTTTTCAGGATCTAGATGTTTATGAGACAATTTAACCCTTTCTTGACAGGTCTTCCTATGGTCAGTGGCCAAAGGGCATGTCATCACATTTGTAGACTTGTATTCAAAATTTTATTGAACTACTATTTTATTAATGTATGTCAATAAGTTTGGGATCTAATTGTAAATTATAATCAAATCCTAGTATTATACATTAGATAATTTCATAGTTTAAAAGTTAATATGAAAAAAAAATCCTAAATATTGATTTTTGTGTGTTACTTGGTATGTTTGGTTCAAATTAGATATTTGTGGTTGCCCAAATACAAAGTCTTTAGTTTCTTACGAATTAGAAAATCAAATTACTGATACTGACAAGCTAGAATATAAAATAAAAAATCTATCTTTTCTATTTTCTAAGATAATATTATATTTAGTAAATCAACCAAGGTGGTCCTGCCCACTTCTTCCATATTTGGAAATAATTGCATATGTACACTCACTTTGCTCTCTGACATATGTATAACCAATTGAAAGCTTAGAATGTCCCCCATGTGATTTTCTTAGCCTCTGCAAAATATTTATATGGTAGAATCGAAGCAGAAAGGTAGGAGAAAATGGAGCTCAAAATATCATATTTTTTTTAGATCCAACTATAGCTTTGTTACTAGGCCTGATAAATTATGGTGGAATTCTGTGGTACTGATATAGTAATTTATGATTTTAAGTTATTTCAAAATGCATATATAAAACCTAAAAAAAATCGTTTTGTTCTACATCCTCCATGTGCGAAATTTGACAAGGCTTAGCAAATTATGGCACGGAGGCAAGCAAGTACAAAGTTTGTAAGTAGAAGAAGTCATTGTTTCATGTACTTCTTTATTTACTATTCTATGTTTTAAGAAAAATAACAAATTTAAGAACTTGTTTATAAATACTAATAATATATATACTTATGTAATATATTATAACAGAATTGTGACTGTATTTTACAAAATACTGGTCCACTAGAACAAAGCCAAGACAGGTCACTTTTATACTATCGGATATGGTAACATAAGTACGTATGTGCAGCATCATTGCAACTTCTGTAATGTTAGTCAGACATAGCTAAATTATCAATAAAATAAAAATATTAAATATATATATATATATATATATATA